CTACTATAAATGACTAACTTTATAAACTTACTAGAACCTGTGTGTTCTATTGCTGTTAGACGCGCAAAATCGAACCCGTTCAAGCCAGAAATAGTATTGATATATTCACCAGAATACAAGATGAACGGAAATGTTAGGAAACCCCTTTCAGTGAAATTAGTCTTTAATGTTTCTTTCCCAACTATATTCGTTAACAGAACGTTTCTTTCCTCCAAGTTTTAGTGTATCACGTGCGCCATTTCACCACTATAACATTACCTCGCAAAACATAGTCCGCGATAAAATGGTTCGTATTTACGTTTTTACTGAAGTCTGACATTAATAAATAGTTCGGATGTCACATACGTTTTTTCCCCACTTTTTGTAGTACGTTTTCAGATGTAACAGGTACAAGAAAATGGCCGTGCGTAGTGAGGTGATTGACCACAAAATTGAAGGCTGCCTGTGGCAGATGCACTATTGCGTAAAGCGCAAAGGCCTCTGGGAAAGAGATTGGCTAGAACCCTCAGAGCGCAGAACGCGCCGCAGCGATCCCGGATGTGACGTTTCAATGGCGGCCTCGCTGTACATATTTGTTTTATATAAAGAATATCTTAATATCCATTCTGACACGTTTGCTGTCTATTTCGGGTGGCTAAAGTTCTTTCAAAGCCTTGAAAGCAACAGCGGCCGGGGCAGCAGCAGTGTAGCGAACGACAATTTGTTATGCGCAGTATCGTTGCGCAGTAGTTTAAATGACGTTATCTATGTGATATACCATGGTGACATGATACCAAGATCCCGTCACAATCTCGCTCTCGCATAAGCGTTCCAACTCAGAAAAAATGCGAATGCGCATGCCCGAGGTAACTAGGATACTGGGATGTCCAGTGGATCAAAATAGCTGCCCACGATATGACGGATTACGAGAACTATATTTTCTGTACATTTTCGATGTATTACATTTTTCACTATGATAGTGACAAGAAAAGTTTATTTTTTTTCATTACAAACCTTGAACATTGATATGCGTCATGTCAGAAGGTCGTAGCCTCAGTCTCGCTATCTACGAGAAGAGACTTGAATGGGATCTTGACATGATGTCACCATACAGTACTATGCGAGTTGCAAACCCCAAGTAATGTACCTCTGGTAATATCCATTATAATTCCATGTTATGTGACTGAGTCTCAACCAACCACATCATGTCCAACAGTGATATGTGATAATTAAATAATTAATAACATATGTTTGTGAGGGCAATATTAATATGATATTGATTGTGTCATGTGATCGAGTCTCAACTAATCACAGCATGCGTAACATTGAGATATGATAAGACGGCGACATGATGGGGAAACAAGTCTCTTTGCTCTTTAGTACTCAGTAAGATATCAGCAGGAATTTGTAATTTACAAATAATAGATTGATAACAAAAGACGATTTTTAATAATTCACGGCCGTCATCACACGTATTAATGACGTATACAACGCGCTTACTGTATATTTATCTAAATACATTATCACTTTCACTGACAGTTCCAACAGGTACATGACGTCTGTGACCTTTAAAGATGAAAATAAATCAATAACTCAGACATCAAAGTAACGTGTTCTATTCATTCTATGCATAATACTGGTAAAATCTTGATACTGAACTTTAGTACAATAGGTGGGTCTGAACGCACTGGAAAGTTTTACATCGATCAATATGAAATCAATTGAGTTCACAAGGTTAGCAGGAACACACCGGGGAATTCATAGCATGATTTTATCCATGTACATAAGTGAAACAAGGCGTAAAACATTTTGTCGGTGAAGGCTGACTATTCGCTTATAAAAGTTTCTGGGGAGGCTAGTCGAGAACTTTTTTAAATTCGCATGACCGCTAAAACCTTAATAATGGATACTTAAAGAGAATGACAACTACTCATAGGACAAAAATGAGAACAAAACAAGAAAGTGATTTTTCATTTGGAGTTCTATCTAAACCAAACAAATAAGACACACAGAAGCGTTCAAACACATAAAGTAGACAGATTACCTACCTGGTATTTTCTAAAATAAGGGTGTTTGATTTTTTCCTACATGTCCGTATGTAATAAAAAAGAGGGTACATATTTATTCACAAATCAGTGGACAGTTATTTTTTTGGAGCACTCATATATCAGCCAAGTGCCCCGAACAAGTCACACTGATGATTAGGTGAGTAGGGGTGATTGGTCACTTAATATCGTGTTTACTGTTTCTCAAAAGTGCAATGTGGCATTAATATGTTATTTATAAATTGAAAAAGTAAGTGACCAACCACAAATATTTCAAAATATTTGATACCAAGAACATTTAGATCCAGCTAATTTCAAGGGCTGCGCAATAGCGTTACCATTTAGCATGAGAATATGTAGATTGAATTAAATACGACATTACATTATTTTGTGTATATTGTATGAAATGCCGCCCTTTTGAGTTTTTTATTGACCAGCCACTTACTATTCGGCATTGTATGGGAACTTGTAAATTAACTAGCTATCTCACAATTACGTGACACTAGCAACATTTGATTATAACAGTGATGTAATATTCGTATACTCTGCAATTTAATATTTGTGTGATACGCACAGCATACAGCAGTTTAATCTCAGCCAGTACGATAAGATAAAACACATTGAGTATAATCTATTTGAACTCGTGTGGAATCACGAATGAGATAACATCATACGACTTTACTTTAATGACCTCTTATTCTGGTTATGTTTTAACTGATATATCTACGTACAATTTAGAGTATGAAATTACGTCATAGGTGAATATTTTTTTATATGTACAGATAGCCGCGATCTAAAAAGCCGTTTAAAAATACACGCAAAACCGTCGCCGCCCAGTTAAATGCTGCCACAGGCAGTCCAAAATATATCTGAATCTTTCCAGATTTGTTTCTATGGCGATATTTTTGCAGACAACGCAATATGCCATCAATTGTATGGTACTTGACAGCGATGGCTATAATTGTGTTACTTTCCGTATAATTCATCATTATTCCCCATTCATCAGTTATTGCTTCGCATAAGGTAGTGAGTATTTGTGATTACAACTACAGTAATATACGCACTGCAATCGCACCATTCCGTGAAACGAAACAACCCAATATGATCGCATATACATAATAAGATTTACTATTTGTAACTAGATCCCTATTCATCGATCGATGTTCAATATGGGTCCCATGCGATGTTGACAACGTGTATGAAATACGTACTAGTTTGTTTACGAGAAATTCGAACTCACAACTGAGTCACCGAGCTATGTAGAATGTTACGAGCCACACGGCGGTGCATAGCAGTATTAGTACCACCTATAACATTCATATCATGACAAACAAACAATAATTATCGGAAAAAAATATGTTTCTTCTCCTTCTAGACAGCAATTTTGAAAATGATATCTGCATAGTGAATATATGTCTGCGTAGTAATATCTTCTTTAATCAGACATGCCATGTTAAAATGGACAACCCATACAGGAGAATTTATTCAAGTCGCACAAATGTAGCGGCATAATCATTAATTATTGGAATGAATGTAATTTTACTCGCGTGATACTGCCTTCAGTACGACGAAACACAGAGGGGATTATACTCGATCATCCTAGACAATCATAAAACACATTTATACACGCACCCGTCAATTAAATTGCAGTGTATTGCTTTTGCCATTGAGAAAAGATTTCATTTTAAAGTTGATACCATTGGGTAAATGCACTAGTGTGTGTATACACGCCCTCTATGGTAGCGGTATATGTGCCTATGTAAACTTACAAAAACAATCAACTAAGTGATTGCGTGCCGTCAAAGGAAGAAAATCTCCATTACACACTCACCTGCAGGGTACTTTGTCTTATTACATATATACTGCAGTTTATTTTGATTCGTCCCTGAAATCAAAATCGGTATTTCCACAACCCATATGCAAATGAGGTCTGAGAGCAAACAAAGTAGTCCCTTCATGAGTACCATTTTTCGAAATAAACAATATTTAGAAGTACGATATTTTCCCCTTGGGGTACATGAATATACTTGCCGAGTGAAATGAAATTTGAACAACAGTAATGGTACTTTTAGGCAGTCACTTATTTTGAGTCAAACTAA